CTACTTGATAGGTTTCTAAGTGTTGACGATGAAGACTTGGTGAGTCCTCATAGATTCGAGGACCTATACCCTACATTGTTCCTTTTGATGTATTTCTAGTATTGTGTTTAAGTCATGTATGGGCTTAGTCCCATTGGTGTATTCAAGTATTAGATGGTTTTGAGACATCATGTATAAAGTCTAGAAAGTCTTTCGCTTGCTATTTTTAATGAAATGTCTTCTTTGTAAGGAAAGTTTTTAATTTCTTAGTGACTTTTATGATCTATGCGATGAATGAATGCTAAGGCTTGTATGAGACCTCTGAGAGGTTGAATATGCATGGAACGGCTAGGGGGTGCTCTCGGGTCGTTATAGAAAGCTAGCACAACATCATTAGAGCAACTCAAAAAGGTTAGTCACATAAGACATAAGCATAAGAGATAATAACATATTCATAACGTAATCATCATAGTCATAGCGTGGTCTCCAACATAAGCTTCATATGATCATAAGTCAACATAAGACATAGTTAATGAGCATAGGAGATAAATCATAATCATATAAGCATAATAGACACTTAGTCATCTTTACCATTATAGCACCATTCTCAAGTAAGCTCAAAACCATACAAGTGCAAAGCAAGAATAGCATCCCATAATACAACACAAGCCAAGTATGTCTTTTTGGTCATCTTAATCATAGTCTACATACATGGTCAACTCTTAAGCTTTTCTATGTCATAAGGGTACCATACTTCTACGTAACCTCAAAGAACACTTGTGCAATGCATGAAAGTCATCCCATACTACCCTTCACACTAAGCATAACCTTGAAGTCATCCTAGTCATAATCACCCCCACTTTAGCCTCATTATTAGCTTAACTCTCATAACTAAGCGAATCTCTCACCTTTAGTCAACTATGACTAGGAATGGCAACTATAGCACAATCCTATCTCAAGACTTCTCTTCCGTGACCCTAAGTCATACTTGTGCAATGCATGCATAGCAGCCCATATTACTATACATACTAAGTACTACCTTTAGGTCCTCATACTAACACTTCTTGGTTTGGAACCCAGTTCCTCTCTTAACTTTAGAACACTATGAGGTACTCTCTTTAGCATATCTTAGTTCATTATTAGGTTGAACCCTATGAGATACTTCCTTTAGTATGTCTACGTTCACTACTAACATGGATACCATGAGATACTCACTTAAGCTTGTCCAAACCCCTTTCTACTATGAACCCAATGAGATACTCTCTTAGGTATTTCTAAGTTCCTTCTTCACATGGACCCTATGAGATACTACCTTAGGAATGTCTAAGTCAACTCATACTCTTGAACACTATGTGGTACTTCATTAAGTAAGTCTTAGTTCAATTATTCTTTAGAACACTATGAGATGCTTCTCAAGCATGTCTTAGTTCATAGTATATGGTGATTGCTACTAAGAACCTTAACTCTACTATGTGAAGGTTCCCATCTCATGAGACCTAACTTTGGGAAAAGCCACACTCTACTACGTAAGGGTTACCCCTTAACTTGGATAGTCCTCATATCAACTAGGTGTGGTTCTCATTTCTACTTGGAGCCTGGACCCTCTCTTGTATGACACTCCATCTCATTGTCAATAACCACTTGGAGCTAAGCATACACCCCAAGATTTACTTGTTAAACCTTGCTTAACACTCATAACTCATGGAAGGAGGTGCTTGATAACCAATCCATGTTAAAGTGATTCTATCACTTTCATCTATCAAGCATTCATGAGGTACAATAGGTGAGTATAGGCCTTCACCACAATCCAACCTATTAGACTTCTATTCTCTTTTGATCACCTTAGCGTCACCCTAAAGCCCTAGCTATCATGATCACAACCTTACTCTCAAGGTTTCTTCCTTAATCTTTTCTTTATACTTAGATTTCAAGTTATTTTGATTACATCCTTCATTACTTGGTGATTCTAGTCTCAATTGATCATAATGGTTCAATTCTAACTTTACAAGTCAAGATCAATCATATATAATAGATTCTATTTCAATTCATGATTATATGATCCTAACTTATATCAATTAATACACATAACATAGAATTAGGAAGATCAACTATGAACCTTCAACTTTGCCTTTAATGGTATAAACCCACAAAGATCACATTCATAAATTTTGATTAGGGTTTACCATATAAATCACATGAAATCATCATATTATCATTAAAAAAAATTAAATCAATCACGATTGGGTGATATCCACTAGATTGGAATCACACCCAAACTCTACCCACAATGCAAGCACACCCCAAGCTAAAATTTGGTTTTTGATTTCACAAGTGGGGAAACTATGGGGGCTCCATGGATGGAAGAACTCATGGATGATTAAGCTTCAAATACCTTCAATCAAAGCCCTAAACAAAGCTTGAATTAATGGTGAATTCGACCTAATTGCTGCCCCTCTTCTTCTTCTTTCCCTCTAGAGAGAGAATATTTGGAGAGTGATTTGAGAGTTCTAAGATGAATGAATTAATTTAGGGGCCTATTAAGCTTATATAAGAGGTAAATTAATTGACTAACCGACCTCCCTAAAGCCCTAATTAATAACTAAATTAATTCCAAAACACCTAACTAAAAACTAAAACTTTAAAAACTGGCAGCATCCATGCCCACCAACCCACGTACCATAGATGGGTCTACTGGCCGTCCTATAGTCTTGTGGTTTGCACCTGAGGCTTGTCTTGGCAAACCTCAACAGGCCTTGACCTACGCCCATGACCTACGGGTCGTGGTCTGGTCTACTGGCCATGGTTGGTCATCCGTAGGTCACCAAAATTGGGCTGTTTTGGGGACTGTTTTGGGGACTGTTTTGGGGCCCTCCTCAATGACGCTTTGGGTGGTTTTTGGGACTCGTACCCGAACGTTTAACCCCTAAAATCACTATTCTAAGTACGGGAATAGTTTTTACAAGTTTTAACCCCAATACGAATCTCTAAAACTCTTACCAAAGGCTCTAGAACTCACTAATTCAACTCAGTAAATTACGGGGTATTACAAAATCCTAATCCCTAAACACAAAACACTAAACCCTAAACCCTAAACTTAGAACCCTAAACCTTAAACTCAGAAACCTAAACCATAATCCCTAAACTTCAAACCCTAAACCCTAAATCCTAAACCCTAACCTTAAACCATTAATCCTAAACCATAAACCCTAAACCTAAACCATAATCCCTAAACCCTGAATCCTAAACTATAAACCCTAGACCCTAGACCCTAAACCCTAAACTCTTAAACCAAAACCGTAGACCCTAAATCCAAAACATGGAACACTAATCCCTAAACCCTAACCCTTAACCACTAATACTAAACCCTAAACCCTAAACCCTAAACCCTAACACTAAACCATTAATCCTAAACCCTAAATCCAAACCCTAAACCCTAAAACCTAAACCCTAAATCCTAAACTATAAACCCTAAACCCTAAACCCTAACCCTGAACAATTAATCGTAAACTCTAAACCTAAACCCTAAACCCTAAACCCTAAACCCTAAACCCTAGACCTTAAACCTAGGCCGTAAAACCTAAATCCTAAACCCTACACTTATCGCCTCCTCATTTCATGAAAATTTTCTCTCTCTAAAAATTTTTTCTCTAAAAAAATTTATTTATTCTCTTAGAATACTTTTAAGAAATTAGCTTTCTTGGTTAAATTCCCATCGATTTCAGCATCCTTAGTATGGAAGAAGGGCCATCAGCAGATCTTTTCCGGCCTCCAGATCCATCTACAGCGATGCTCAATCCAAATATACATCCATCGTTATTGGAATCATCCTCAAAATCATCCTACAGCTCCTCGCAGGTGAGAGAAGAGGCGATCCAGACTGCCATGGCGGAAAGGGAGCTGGACGGGACTCGAACAAATGTTCACATGAAAGATTCTAGTCAAATTCAAGGTAAACGGACTGGAGACAAAGAATCCTTATCCCAAGATCGACAAGCTGGTAAAAAATCTCATGATTTCACCGTCCCATATGAGAGAAAGCCATCGGCGATGACGGCGAGGAACGTAAGTGAATCGCCTCAAATGCGCCATCAAAGTCGAGGTGAAATGGATACTGGGGTTTGTTCCCCTAGTCGTGGAGGAAATACAACTGAAGTATCAAGTACATTCCATGGTGAAATCGCCGGATACGAAACTTCAGGTGACTCTGCCGGAACTTCTGCGAAGAATTTCGATCATTTGCAACAAGATGAGGAAATTTATGATCTAGCACATCCTCAATTTCACCAAAGAGAAGGAAAACAACAGATTCACGAATTGGGACAAGCTAGCATTCCTTGTTTGGATGATCATACCACCAAGAAACAGGGCAGGGATTCAGGTATGATTCCTATTGATAATTCTCCTGATAATGTGATTCCAACTTCTGGTAAGGAGTTTCATAGAATTGAGAATAATCAACAAAAATCTTAGGTTGCTAAAGAACTAGGGAAATTCAATGATCCTAATGCTCCAAGACAGGTTCAGGGTAATCAGGCTAAGGAGAACTCTAGAACTGATCAACAGCAGGCATGTCAGTCTAATTTTCCTAGAATTTCTAGCAATTTTGATCGTCAAGGTCCTAAATCTAATATCACTAATGCTAGACCTGATCGACCCCAACCTCCTTATCCTCCAAAAAATGATCAAGTAGCTGAACCTGCCCCTTATACAGTAGTGCAGACTTATGCTGATCGTCTTAGACACAATCAAGCCAAAAGTGTTGTTACCATTAACTTGACTGCTCCTGAAATCACCACTAAAAAAGGTCTCCCTGCTGTCCTGTATGTGAAAGAGGAGGTCATTACAGATTTAGCTGCTGCCTGTAAATATATTCTTATTGGGAAATTCAGTTACACAATGCCTAAAGTGGAGCTGATTAGGAAGAATTTCATTTTACAAACTCAATTATCTGGTGGTGTTAAGGTTGCGCATTTAATTCACGACATGTTTATATAGATCTTGATAATGAACTTGATTATAATATGGTTTGGACTAAGCAAAGGATGAGTATAGCTGGACAGGTGATGAGAATTCAAGCATGGAATCCTAATTTTACTCCAACTGCAGAAACTCCTGTAGTCCCAGTATGGATTTCATTACCGGAATTACCTTGGCATTGTTATAATAAAGAGTTTGTTTCTGGCCTGCTGTCTCCTATTGGCAAAGTTTTATATTTCGATTCTGCATCTATTAAAAAGACTAGGGGTAGTCAAGCTAGGGTGAAGGTACAAATTGATCTTACTCAAAAGAGACCTTCTTTTATTTGGATGGGTTATATAGGGGAGGATATCACTGATGGTAGATGGCAGAAAATAGAATATGATAATATCCCTGATTATTGTTTTTACTGTAACCATCAAGGGCATTTGGAAAGTGATTGTGCCATAAGACAGAAGGATGAGGATAAAAAAAAAAGGAAGTGGAAACTGTGAGAAATAAGAATAATAAAGATATAGACAAAAATCCTCAACAACCTAAGGGTCACAAAGTAGTTGAACAGAAGGAGGATATAAATCAGCAATACAAACAGCATAGAGATCAGGAACAAATACAGCATCAGCAAGAGGATCATTGGCAAATTCAAAGGAGGAAGAACAATAATCAGATGCAGGCTCCTAGAGGAAACAACAGCCAAGCAGATCAGTCCACCAAATGGGCAGGTATCATTACTATCCCTACACAAAATACCTATATTAATATTGATGTGCAGGAGACACCACCTGGCTTAAAGGGCCGGGACCAACACAAAGACAACAGCAGTGATAGTATACCTTAGTCTTCAGTACAAAAGCATCAAGAACAAGGAGAACAAATCAGAAATACAACAACAAATCTGGGAAAAGATACCACTAACAAGCAGTTACAGGTGGATATTATTCCTACACCTTCAACAGGTAATAATAAAGGAAAGGAAGTTTTGAAAGGGCAAGCTGTTATAGGTATTGACTCAATGCTCCCCTCCCCTGTTCCCACTGATAATGTTGTTACTATTATTGCTGAGGAAGTTGTTGGAGGTGTGGATGGGAAGGGTCAGGAGACACAAACTAATCTGCAGGAAGGGGTTTCCAAAAAGGGGGAGGAATTGACTCATGTTATACATGAGGAAGTTGCATTTGACCATAGTAGAGACTCTAGAGCCCCTTCTACCCCTATTACAGATCAGTAAAAATCTGGAACTCCACAATTTATTGATACAGGGCAACATCAGAGTAGACTTAATAACAAGTCTGGAGACAGATTGAGTAAAAAGAAAAGAGAGGCTATAAAAAAGAGACTGCAACAGAGTGCTGGCCAGGAGTCTGATGGTACAGCTACTGGTAAACAAACTGAAGCACAAGCCTCTTATAAAAGTCAGAACCCTCTAAACACTAATCAACATGGTGATGAACAGGCTCCTAACATAATCAATAAGGGTAAGTTGACTCTGGATGATTATAGGGCAATTAACTCTGATGATGAGTTTGATCCTGATAATCAATCTATAGATGAGTCTGATGAGGATACAGAGGATAACATGCAGCATACAGGTCAAGTGGTTGGTTACACCTTTCAGGATAAATGCTCAGATGTTCAAAAAATGACAGAACAATAGGGTTTATCCCCAAGGGGTAGGAAAAAGACTAGACACAATCCTAATCAAACTATCACTAATATGTCTGACACCTCTAGCAGGCCCATGACTAGGTCCAAATCAAAAGGTTATTAATGATTAGGGCCATTTGTTGGAATGCTAGGAGTATCAACACCAAAGGGTCTTTGGAAAGACTACAAACACTCAAGAAACTTCATCACTTATCCATTATTGCTATATTGGAACCATTTGCAGATAATTCTCATATTGATATGGTCAAAATTCAACTCCAAATGGATCATGCAGCCAGTAATCCTAATGGGAAAATTTGGCTGTTTTGGTCTAATGAAGTTACTGGTTCTATTCTTGAAAAGCATGAACAACATATCACAGTAACTTTTAAGTATACAGATATCCATGATAAATTCATGATGTCTTTTATTTATGCTAAATGTAAGGACTATATGAGGAGACCTCTTTGGGACAGATTACTGGTTTATTCTAATATGGAGATACCATGGTGTACTATTGGTGATTTCAATGTTATCACATCTATAGAGGAGAAATCTGGGGGTATACCTTACAACATACATAAGAGTTTTGAATTTATTGGAATGATAGAGGCTTGTGGATTGGTTGATATTGGATACACAGGACTTCCATTCACATGGTGTAATCAAAGGGATGCTGAAGCTAGAGTTTGGAAGAGATTAGACAGGGCTATGGTTAATGATAAATGGTTAGAGGTGATGCCTCAAACCACTATTGAGAATTTATCATCTGTTGGGTCTGATCATACTCCCATGTTGATGGAAATGATTAGGGCTAATGCGAGGCATTAAATACTTCAAGTTTCTACACTTTTGGGTTGAAAATGTCACTTTCATGAAAACAGTTCAACAATGCTGGGAAAAAGAAGTGTCTGGTAATCCAATGTGGAGATTACATCAGAAAATAAAAAGAGTTTCAGCCACACTTAGTAATTGGTCTAAACAAGAATATGGAGATATCTTTACAAAAGTTAGGGAATTTGAAGATAATATCAGGAAATCTGAGGAGGAACTTATGAATAACAACACTGAAGCTTTCAGACAGACTTTACAGCAGAAGAATGCAACTTGCATTAGGTATTTGAAAATGGAGGAATCTATCCTTAAACAAAAAACACAACTTCAATGCTTTAAGGAGGGTGATGCCAATACCAAATACTTTCATGCTTTGATGAGAGGTAGAAGAAAAAAGTTATTTTTACATAAGATTTGTATTGAAAATGAGACATGGGTGCAAGGTGAGGAACAGATAGCTCAGGCAGCTTGTGATTATTATCAGCAAATATTCACTAGACAGAATGCTAGAATAGATGAAAGAATTCTTCAGTATATCCCTACAATTGTCACTGCTAAACAAAATGAGATGATGCAAGAAATGCCTACTATGGAGGAACTCAGACAAGTTGTGTTTGCTATGAATCCAAATTCAGCAGCAGGGCCTGATGGTATAGGGGGTAAAATTTATCAAGCCTGTTGGAGTATCATAAAAAAAGACTTGCTCGCAGTTGTACAATCTTTCTTTTGTGGTAACCCAATGCCTAAGTTCATGACTCATGCATGTTTGGTTTTGATTCCTAAAACTGAGCAGCCTATCAGATTTATAGATCTTCGACCTATCAGCCTTAGTAATTTTACTAATAAGATAATTTCCAAATTATTGAGCATGAGACTGGCTACTGTTTTGCCTTTATTATTATCAGATAATCAGTCAGTCTTTGTTCGAGGCAGAAGCATTACAAAAAGTATAATGCTTGCTCAGGAGATTACTAATGGTATTAAAAAACCTCAGATTGGAAATAATGTTGTTATCAAACTTGATATGGCCAAGGCATATGATCGAGTGTCTTGGTCATTCATATGTTTGGTACTAAGGAGATTTGGTTTTGGGGAGTTAATTATTGATTTAGTATGGAGAATTATGAGTAACAATTGGTATTCTATTATCATAAATGGTCATAGGCATGGTTTCTTTCACTCCACTAGAGGACTTAAGCAAGGTGATCCTCTGTCTCCTGCCCTATTTATTTTAGGAGCAGAGGTCTTATCAAGATTGCTTAATTCTTTGCATCAGATCCCAACTTATAAAGGCTTCTTTATGGAACCTAAAGGACCTCAGATCAATCACCTAAGTTTTGCAGATGATGTTATTATCTTTGCCGCTACTGACAGACATTCTTTGAAGCTCATTATGGACAGGTTAGGGGAGTATGAACATACTTCTGGCCAGCTTATTAACAGAGAGAAGAGCCATTTTATGATTCCAGACAAGACTCATCAAGATATTATCAATACTATTCAGGAAGTAACTAAATTCTCACAGAAAATCAGTCCCATTACTTACTGGAAGAAAGAAGGAATCACTCAATTTCTTGGCTGCTATCATATATTAGATAGCGTGCAAATCCTTTCTATACTAATCTAATGTAGAACCTTACTCTCTATATTACACTCTCTATATTACATTACTCTATTTATTTTTTATTGTTTTCCTATTTCATCATCAAATTTTTTATAAGATAAGTTGATTGAAGAAGTTTTATTTAATTAATAAAATTTCCTCTCTTTTTTGTTTTGTTTGTCCACCAATTCATATATTATATGTAAGGGGGTAGGTGTAGGGTTTCTGATACATCTGGAAAAATTGAAACCAAGACTAGGAATTTTTAACAAACAGGATCAAGAATCATTACTCTTTCGTTTCGACACAAGAAAAAAGGATTTTTCTCTACATACTATGGCTGCAATTTCTCCTCCCAACACTACTATTAAATACATTGATGCCATTATTGCTGAATTCTTCTAGGGTAAGGATTTGGATAAAAGGAAATATCATTGGGCTTCTCTAGATACTATGTGTTTACCATATAATGAAGGAGGGCTAGGGATCAGAAGACTCACAGACATTTGCACCTCCTTACAATACAAACAATGGTGGAATTTCAGGTCAAAAGTATCCTTATGGAGTCAATTTCTTAAATCCAAATATTGTCAAAGAGCTCATCGAGTTGCTAAAAAGGTGGATACTGGACAGTCTTTGATGTGGAAATATATGATAAAGCACAAGATTAAAGTAGAAGAGTGTATAGGCTGGCAAATTAAATCAGGTAGCTGCTCATTTTGATGGGATGATTGGCTAGGAATGGGTGCCATTGCTAATTATACCTCTTCTGTATCAAGTCTAAATAATGCTACTGTTGCACACTTTCTAGTAGATGGAAAATGGAATGAAAGAAAGTTGAGGCAACAGGTTCCACCTCTTCTGATTCCTCCTATTTTAAATACTAAATTTTAGTTTGTGCAGGGAATTAAAGAAACTGCAGTTTGGACACACACTGAATCTGGAAAGTTCAGTTGCACATCAGCATGGGAAATGTGCAGAACTAAGAAGGATAATACAATCCTTAATGCTCAAATTTGGCACAAACATATACCTTTCAAGATGTCTTTTTTGCTATGGAGAGAACTACGCTATAAACTGCCTACCAATGAAATACTAGCAACCTTCGGAGTAGAACCAGTGAAATGTTTCTGTTGTCTTAAACAGGGATGGGATGACGTGGATCACATCTTCATTCAAGGACATTTTGCAGGTCATAACTGGAGGTTTTTTACAGTTAGCATGGGACTCAAGTTTCAGCAAACTTCATTGATTAATCAGCTATTGAGATGGACTGATATTACAGGGAAGAATGTAGCACATACGACAATCATCAAAACTCTTCCTATAGTTATATGCTGGAATTTATGGAAAAATAGATGTTCAGCCAAATATGGCGGAAAAACATCTAGTGTCCTCATAGTTAAATATTTGATTCTCAAAGACATGCTTTTACTTCTCCATTCTGCTTTTCCTTATCTTCAGTTGCCTGTGATTTGGCCAGACGTGGTGGACTGCATTGCAAAATGCAAGGATATAAGAATTACTTTAGTTATGTGGAAGACCCCTCCTATTAATAAATATAAGTTGAATACGGATGGTTGTGCTTTACATAATCCCGGGAAAATTGGAGGAGGAGGCATTCTTAGAGATAATCAAGGAGTTATCATATATGCTTTTGCTGTACCTTTTGGTGAAGGAACTAATAATCAAGCTAAAGTGCAGGCTGCCTATTATGGATTAAATTGGTGCATACAACATGGTTATAACAATATCTTGTTAGAAGTTGATTCTGAATTATTAACTAAGTGGCTCTTGCAGGTTTCTATTCCTTGGCAACTGAACAGATTTATACAGGAATTACAAAGGCTTGCTGACCAATGTGTTTACTTTCAGTGTTTGCATACTTACAGGGAGGCAAATAGTACTGCAGATCTGCTGGCCAAACATAGTCACCAACAAGATATTGAACAACATTATTACACTCCACATCAATTACCTCAGGCAGTTAAAGGGAGTTATCTTTTAGAGAAAATGGGAGTTCACAATTTCAGACGCAAGAAGATGAAAAGGATAAAGCAACCACCTTGATTCACAACAATTCGGTTCAATAGACAATAATACCAACTATCAAGGATAGCCAATGCTACTTTATAACTACATGACATAGCATCTCCTATGAGATCGATTATGTCATCATTTGATACTAACAACAATCTCGTTGTCCCTTGTGATATACTCTATTCTGATCTAATATGTCTTATTTAGGTATATTAGTTAGTTTAGGCGTATCTTTATTTTCTTGTAAGGGGAGAGTCTCCCTCATTTATGTATTATTAGTACTAGGTATTAAGAGAGGAATCATCCTCTTAGGTGCTTAGTTTAATTTACATCTTATTGTATTGGGTGGAATAGACTAACCTTAGAAAGTAGGTTTACTCGTACCCACCATAGGATTGGAGGTAAGGTATTTGCCCCCTTCCGTGTATATTTGAATTTTATATATGATAAGGCCTGGGGGTGTTGCTCAGCCCCTGACCCCCCAAAGGGTCGTTCCACTAAAAAAACAAAAAAAAAACCCTACACTGTAACCCTTAACCACTAATCCTAAACCCTAAACCTAAACCTAAACCCTAAACCCTAAATCCTAAATCCTAAACTCTAAACCCTAAACCCAAAACCCAAAACCCTAAACCCAAAACCATAGACCCTTAACCCTAAACCCTACACCATAAACCCTAAATGCTAAACGCTAAACTTGGAACACAAAATCCTAAACTCAAAACCCTAAACCCTAAACCCTAAACCATAAACTTCAAACCCCAAAACCTAAACCCTAACCCAAAACCATTAATTCTAAACCCTGAACCCTAACCCTAAACCCTAAACAATAAACTTTGAACCGTAAACCATAAACACAAAACCCTTAACCCAAAACCCTAAACCCAAAACCATAACCCAAACCCTAAACCATTCATACTAAACCCTAAACCAAAACCCTAAAGCCTAATGCCTAACCCTAAACCATTAGTCCAAAACCCTAAACCCCAAATCCAAAGTTCTAAACCCTAAATCCTAAACCCTAAACCCTAAACCAAAAACCTAAACCCCTAGACCTTAGACCCTAAACCCTAAACCTTAAATGCTAAACCCTTAACTTGGAATCCTTAACCCTAAACCATAAACCATAAATGTTAAATTCTAAACCCTAAACCCTAAATTCTAAACCCTAATTCCTAAACTCTAAACCCTCAACCCTAAATCTTAAACCCTTACCCAAAACCCTAAATTCTTACCCTAAACCCAAAACCCAAAACCCAAAACCATAGACCCTAAACCCCAAAACATATATGCTAAACCATATACCTTAAACCCCTAAACTATAAACCCTAAACCAACAACCTAAAACCCTAAA